CTTGGTGATTGCTTTGAACCATACAAGGACTTCTTCAAATGACAAACTCCCACTCCCCGTGAGCGACAAACTAGGTGGTTGCTCCAATTAAGTTTCCTTAAGTAAGTCAGTGTGCAGAAAAGCATTTTTTGCATCCCACTGAAACAAAGGCCAATATCAATACACGAATAGAGGAAATCTTAGCAACAAGAGAAAATGTCTTGTCATAATCGATGTCATATGTCTGAGTAAATCCCCTAGCGACAAGTCGTGTTTTTAAACGTTTAATAAAACCATCAGGATTGAATTTCACGTTATAAACCCATCAGCAACCAACAGTTTTTTTAACACGAGGTAACGAAATGAGATATGAAGTTTTTTATGAAGTAAGACATCCATTTCAATCTCCATAGTTTTTCTCCTACCCAAGTCTAAAAGTGCTACATATAAGGTCTTAGAAATGGCCATGCTAGATAACTGAGAGATACAAGACAAGAAAGTAAGGGATAAGACATCATAAGAAACAAAATGACCCATAGGTGGCTAAACAGAAGATCAGGTACACTTATGAAGGGCAACAGGCAATGAGTCTGAAATGATAGTTGGACTCGCTTTAGAAGAGGATGAGGAAGACGAAGGGACCAATTCAGCAGATGACCATGAACGATGCGTGTACACACGTAACGGGACAACAGAAGGTGGTGGTAGAAAAACCGAAGGAGTGGCTATGGGTTGTGAAATGACACAAGGTAATGGGAGAGGTAGTAACAAAGGCAATGAAGGAGTCGTCTCAAAGGAGAGGTGATAGCTGGGAAATATGATATAGACTCACAAAAGGTGACATCAAAACTAGTGAAATAGTGTTGGAACGTTGGACTGTAACACCAATAACCTTTCTCAGTGCGTGAATAATTGAGTAAGGCACACTTTGTAGGACGATGGTCAAGTTTATCAAATTTAGGACCCAAATTATGAACATAACAATTGCACCCATGCACCCGAATATCTGAGGAGGAACAAGAAATAAAGGATATTGTGGTATAAGAATGAAATGGAGAGATTTCCCATGATTGATAAGATGACAAGCAGTAAGAAGAATATTACTTCAAAAGTGTTTGAAACATTCATATGAAATAAAAGTGCTCAAGTTATTTCCAACTAATGACGATTTTTATGTTTTGCTAGGAAGCACAGATACTTTCCGAAGGGTGTCGTGGTAGAGTTGGACATGTTTATGTGTCATACACGATCGGACATGTGTCTGACATAGCTAGAAGTGTTTAGAATAGTGCTCAGTCAGACACGCCTGGACACAAGTAGGACACAACCAAGACATGGTAAAAATTTTTTAAATAAAAAAACAACTGATAACTATTAAGAAGGATATGATTTTTTTATTTTTTTGTGCATTTTTTGTTAGGTAACCTATAAACTATGAATGTGAAGAGATGTAATGATGTTTCACGAAAATGAGGAATGTTTTTTTTTTATTTATTTCAATTTTATTCTAAAAATTAATATTTGCTATGTCTTATTATTAAAATTATTATAAAATATGTTTTGTTTTTAAAATTTAATAATTTTATTCTTATCTAAAAAATATAATATTATTTTAATTTGCCATATCCTTGCTGCATTCGTGTTCTATATTTTCGAACTTTGGTGTATCTCTGTATCTGTATCGTATTGGATACAGCTCCCGTGTTCATATCCATACTTGTTAGATGCTTTGCTTTCTCATTCTATTGTGCGGTGTGGACACAAAAAGTTTGATGAACAATACCCTTTCCTCGAAGATAGGTGGCAAAGGGGTCAGAGTCATATTCTCGAGCATTCTTAGACCACAAAATGCGAATTCGACAACAAATTGAGTTTTAATTTCTTTACCAGACGTTTGAAATATGAGAAATAATTCAGAGCGAGTTTTCATCATATGAGAATAGTTATCCACAAATGTCGCAAAATATAAAAATTTATTGGATGGAACATTCTTTAAACGACCCCACTTATCTTAATGAATCAACTCAGAAGAACTATAGATGCAATTATAACTCGAGGGTCAAAAGACAAACGATGATGCATACAACCTTCACAAGACATAAGTTGGATTGGGAACTCGACGTTTCAAAGATGGAAGAGTTGGGCGATCAAGGCGACAATGCCACTGAAATGAAGATAATAATGACTGAAATGCTGGATGGGATGGCTCAAAATCAAAGTAATAAAGACCACCAGCACATGCTCTCTACCAATTTTACTCTCTGTCTTTAGATCCTGAAACACACAAAGAAGGATAAAAAGTAACATAGTAATTAGGAGAGTGAATTATCTTGCTAATAGACATCAAACTAAAAGGGAATTCAAGGAACAAATAACAGAAGATAAAGGCATTGTAGGACTTAGTTGAGTGCGTCTCAATCCTCAGACCTGAGATGAGGAACCATTTACTAGGTGACACTTTGAGTTGGAGGCACAGATTCATAAGAAGAAAAAATACTAGATGAACCAGTCATATGATCAGATGCACCTGAATCTGTGATCCTGGAATTGTGTTTGGATTCTTTGGATGACATTAAGCATGTAGAAGTCACACTTGACTGGGCAAAAGAAGCAGTGGAGGAAGCAGTAAGTGTCTGTTAGCAAGAGATGAGCTGAGTAGGGTTGGCAGGTGCAGAATAAAACGGTGGTACAGATAACTGAGGAGCATTAAAGAAAGAGGTAGGACAAGAATTATCTGAAATGGCCAACAATCCAAAACAACTGTGGAATCACACAGAATAAAGCGGGCTCCAAAAGGCTGAACCGTTAAAAAAAATCACACTGAACTGGGCAGGAAAGGTCCTGAACCAGACCAAACCAAGCTGAAATAGGCAGAAATGTAACTGAACCAGACCAAACCAAGCTGAGCTGGGCAGAAATATAACTGACCCTGACCAAACCAAGATGAACTGAGCAGGAAAGTAGCTGAACCGGACCAAACCAAGCTGAACTGGGCAGAAAGGTAGCTGAACCGGATCAAATAAAACTGAACCAAGCAGAAAAGTAGCTGAAACGGACTGAATAAAACTGAACCATGCAAAAACAATCTGAATGGGAAGATATGCTTGAACCAAGAACACAAACCTGGGTCTTGGACTACCCAAATATTTAATTGATAAAACATGACCCAATCCACAACTGGGGGACTACTGCAACAGAACTCCGGGCCCTAGTAAAAATAGGGGCCGTCTTCTCTGTCAACCACAAGAACTTGGTAGCAGTGCCCAGAAATCAGCAACTAAAGTCTGTCTTCTTTGTCACCAGTGAGGGTGAATAGCAGTGAATAGCAACCAGCAGCCAAGCAACAAACAAGACCAGCAACCAGCAATCAAGTAACAAGCAAGGAACAGCAACCAGCAACCAGCAACCAGCAACCAAGGTTTGTCTGCACCAGCAAGAACTCAACAACAGCAACCAACCTCCAGAAACCAAGCAACAACCACAACAAAACTCTCATCCCAACAGCAATGAAAGTTTTCTTCTCTGCTCAATGAAAGTGACAAATATAACAGTGACAAACTTCGTTGCCCACAGCGACAATGTTCTCATGTCTAAAACTCACAAACTTCATTCTCCTGCCACCATTAATTACCAGGAGTGATCCAAAAATTCCATTCCAACACCAAACAGTAAAATCCGATACGAAGGCCACGACTAATTAAAGTTAGCTATGGTCTGTGAGTTATACCAGAGAATAGAAAAGGTGAAAATATAAATGAAAATCCATGTAAAGTTTAGGAATAGTAATTAGAAAACAAAGTGAGAAAGAAGTAATGAAGAATTGTGTGAAGAAGGACAAATATCTTATCCCTACTTTTCACTTTCAACTTATATATATGGATATCAAAATAAATAGAAAAGGACCAGTACACCCCTGAGTGGTATACTTAATACAATAATATATAAGAACTATACTACGTAATAGTTCACAACATTTTATCTTTGGCTTGCTTTGTTGTTGTCTCATGTTCCTTATCTATTCCCACCAAACCTCAAGCTTTAACCCTCAACCGAATAGCGACCAACTATTACCATCTTGTCACTTGAGATTTCTTTGAAATCTAGGGTTCTTTCAAACATACTTAGCCAGTCAAAATCCTCTTCAGCTTGAAATTTCCCTCAAAATCAGGAATCTCCACTCTGACGTCCATTGCCCATTTTCTATCATCTCTCACAATCTGCTGTCTTTATTGAAAGGGACTTTCTGAGAAAATCATACATATAAGAGGCATTGGCCTCGAGCTGGGCCCCCCATTTTGGAACCTATTGGTTAGCATCTCAACTTTTATCCTTAGTTGTTCTATCACACCTCTAGCTCCACTTGGAGATGAGGCTGCTGCACCTCCCGCCTCTTCTAGGAGGCATTCGTCAGACATATAGCTGAATGGACATGCTCTGATACCACTTGGTGCAGCTTGCTGTGAGAAGATGGAGCTTAGCACTCTTCTTTGCTAGCTTGAAAACTAAATAACAAGGTAACTCAACAACCCAATAAGAAAGTATGAAAGAAGGTAGAAGGTAGAGAAGAAAAAAGTGGGTGGAAACTGGCGGGAAATTGTTTATAAAGGTTCTGCTGAGGCAGCTTCTATCCTTTCCAAAATGAGACATTTTTTTTGGGCATTTGAACAGGTTCAATATTTGACCCTTGGATTTTAACCGCAGTTTTATAGGTGTCTACAGAGAATTATTTAGACCAGAATAACCATTTTGGCAGCACTGCATGAAGCTCCCGACCCACAGTATATCTGTTAGTGGTTGCTACTGCTGCTACATCAACTTCTGTGGCAATAACTCATACCTCTGGCGTTACATGGATTTGACATCTACTTTCGATCTAAGAATTATCTTGTACAGAAAGGTGCTCTGCAGCCTTGTTTCTTTGCTGCTATTTGGGTATTTTAGGTGGACAGAAATGCTGGAAGAGTAGGAGATGACGTTACCACTACTGTTCAGATTTGAAGTCTCACTAGTTTCATCAGACTATGTCCATGGACAGTTGCATCACATTTCTAAAAGAATGTTAGTAATATTGGGAGGCTAGTATTTCCCGTCTCTTTCTGTTTTGTTTTCTGATTTTTCTTTGGCCTCGGTCTTCAGGGTTGTCTTTACCCTTTCTATGTGCCCAATGAAAATTACCATATATAAAATAGAAAGGCATTATTTGAAAGTTCATTAATAAATGTACACCATGTGGTAAACTATATGTCATGACCACTACCATAGGTGCTTGTATAATGTTATTGTAACAAATGGCAACATAATTACATAGTTCGGGCATATTAAAACACTGATTTATTGTCTGGAATACACTCCTGGTGCCAATTATTTTTCCTAATGTTTTGCTCTATCTTACGGGTGGATAGGTTGTAGAGGCTCCTAATGGGAGTGAATTTTGAGGTCGATTCCTTTGGATGTCATAGGCCAATGAAGGGGGTCAAGATCTTTCAAGACTAATAACTTACCGAGTGCATGCTTCACACAATATTTTGATAAAACAAAATCTTTCTTTACAGGGATCCCATTTGGTCATTCGTCTCTTTCGTCCAAACAAAGTTTTGTGGGAAAAGGTATGTGACTTCTTTTTTTTTTTTTTTTTTTTTTCGGTTTCATAGTTATATTCTGCGTGACAAGTCCAAAGGGCGGCCTAGAATTAAGAAGCCAAAGTTACAACTCATAATGGACAATCACATTGCCATTTGTGATGTTAGATGTGGATCATGGTAAGACTATAGGGATTATTAAACCCATCATATCAAGTTATAATTGACAGCACAGCTAGAATGAACACAATACTTTTCCAACATTGACATTAATTTGTATAATATAAAGTCCTTATCCTGTATAATCCCAATCAGGAATTAGTGATAATGCAGCTTGACTTATGCACACCTTGGTATGGTATTGCAGCAAAATGTCTGAATATGTACATTTGAAGATTGAATGCAAAAGCATTTCATATTTTCCTGATGAGAATTCGGGGAAAATAGTCTGTTACTAATAATGAGGATAAGGCTTTGCTTGGTTCTTTTTGGTTTTTAACAATCTGCCATCCTGTGCGCGTGACTAAATATTTTGCGATGTACAGAGTGGAAGTTGCAGTTTTGGAGACCTGAATTAGGTTAATATTATTTTGATTCTGGTTATCAAAGTATTGGCCGAGTAGTTTTCCATTTGTCCTTCTGTCCCTCCCCCCCTTTCTTCTCGTGGGAAATAGAATCATGTAAATCTTTCTATTATTATTATTATTATTAAGAAGGGAACACAGCCATTTAAGTTCTTTAGAATGCTTTACATGGCATCAGAAATCAATTGATTAGGTGTTCTCACATTCTTAGAAATTCTAGTATAGTTCAATCTGTCACTATTGCCAATTGGACATGTTGGGGATTATATAGTTGTGTTTTTATGACCTAATATATATCCTTATGCAAGTAACTAGTCCGCGCACTTTTGGGTTATGGATTCGTTCTCAATTTTTGTCATTTCTCTCAAATCCTATTTCCAATATTGAAACCCTAACATGTTATTAGAGCACCCCTATTCCCAAGCATATATATATTTTTTTCTATATTTCGTTTGCGTTCAATCATCTGCTTCTGTTGCTAATAGTTGATGATTGTCTTTGTCATTGTTGGATCGAGAAAATCTGTCGGTCAATCATTAAAGCATAGGTGGGTTTGTCATTGTTGTTGTTGCCGATTGTTGCTGGTCTTATGATTGGCACCACCAATTGTTGTTGTTGTCATTACTGATTGTAGTCATATCCTCGAGGGTACTAGAGGTGTCAAAGTTGGAGTCGATTGAGTTAGGTGCTGTTTTTGGGTTTTTTAAACACCTGTGAGATCCATGATCGACACTTCAGTTGTTGTCGTGTCTATTACTGGTGTCGGCTCTTGCTTTGTTACCAGCAGCTTGTTGGTTTTAATTGACGGGAAAGAAAGTATCCATTTTTGTTGATTCGGGTCATAAGTCTTGAACTGACCGATGTTCTTTAATTTAAAACAAACTTGATCTGTAGACCCAAACCTGGTCCTATGACTTTTGGAAACCTGAATTGGAGTCTAGATCCAGGCGCAAACCATAAAAGAGCCCATCCGTGTTCAAAATTCCAGATATACCAACCTAAAACCCTTAAAATTTCTAGATTCGTCCCTAAAAGTTCTGAAAATTCCTTGAAGCCCTGCCACTTTCCCATATTTACATGTGTTCCCCAAAACTTCAGAATTAGGTCATCACCCAAACTTTCTATGATTACATTTCCAAAGTTTTTCAAATTCCCAGAATCATGTTCGGAGTCTGAGTTGTTTGTGTAGTTCGTTCGCATGCCAGATTCAGCGTTGTATCTTATTTGGTTGTGGATGACCATATAAGAGTTGTTGGTGTGTTTGTGGTGAAGTACTGTGGTTTATTTCTGCTCTCCTTTGGTGCTTCTTTGGTGCCTACAACGAGTCAGTCATCTCTGAAATCCAACCATGTGAATTTTACTTGTAAGGAGTACGATGCCCTAGTGCAGAGAAGAAGTCAGATATCTTTTTGCCTTCATTAGTGCCTTGGCTCATTGAGGTACCATCTCTTGTTTGGTGTCATCTTATCGTGTCTCTTGATGTATTGACTCGGAGCATCTAATCACATTACTGGCAAGTCTGAGTTGTTTCATACTTAGAAATACACACTTCTAAGTCTTCAATAATTTCTTCTTATTGTAATTCATATAATATAGTATGGAGTTGGTTTACCACTTGAGTTTATCCTTTGGACAATATGTCCTCAATTTCCCTTTACAACTTTTATCTGTTAGTTAGCTCACTAAAACCCTTAACTGTCAGTTGCATTTTCCCATCTGGTTATGTCTTTTAGGACCTCAAGACAAATAAGACTAATTGGTTGAGGGTATGAGCAGGACATTCTTTATATTTAAATTTCCCAGGATCAAGGTTTAATGCTTTACAGGCAATATTTATCCTCATCAATAGCAATGTTGTCTTTGTGATACCTCTTTAAAACCTATGAGGTCTATCACCCAAATGGTATTGTTGTGCGTCTAAAAGCGTGCCTAGATAAAAAGGTTATACTCAAATATTTGGGTAGATTATTTTGAAACCATAATTCCTGGGCATTGTCTAATCTCAGTCCATGTTTTGTTATTTATTGTCGCTGTAAAAGATTGACATTTGTATCAGCCTATCATCAAGAATGCTTTCCCTCATGAAGACTTACATAAATAGGTATATATGTAACAACCTCCAGTTTATCTTTTTCATGGAGAGTCTAAGAAGTTGTGTCGTCTCACGAAGAAATCTACAGGATTAAGTAGTCCCCTATGAGCATGTTAGATAAGTTTATCACAGTAGTGAACTAGTGATTGTTTTTCCTTATGAAACGAGTAGTACTAATCGTTCTTTGTTTTTGGCATAGTAATTATGGATTCATTGTCTTTCAACATATGTAGATGGTGTTGTGATTACAGAAAGTGATGGTGAAGGTCTTAGACAACTCAACAGTATTTAGGCAACCATTTTCACACGAAGGATCTTGGCTTTTTGAGATATTTCTTGGGGATAGAGTTTACATGGTCTAAGGAAGGTCTTGTTCATACCCAGTGAAGTATGTTATTGATTTGCCGAAGTGACTGGACTGTTGGAAGTACATGATACCTCAATGGAATTGAATCTTAAGTTTGGCAAGAAAACTGGTGGAAAATTTGGTGATCCAGATAGATATTGAAGTTCGGTTGGTAAACTTTTATGTAATATACTTGATATTAGCTATGCCAGATATCATAAGTTCTATTAGAGTGGTTAGTCTGTTTATACAGGATTCTAGAATAGAGCATTGTGATGCAGTGTGTAGAATTATGAGATAGTTAAAAAAGGCTTCTGGAAAGGGGATCATTTTTAAGTCCTCTAGCTCCAAGGATGTGATTGACTTTTTGATGCTGATTGGGCTATGATAATTTGGACAAACATTCAGTATTATGATATTGGAACAAGATGATATATTCATTGTGGCTTTTTCGTTAAGTTACTCCTTGCCCCAAACAACCCTTCCCTTAGGATATGAATCCCTCCTAGAAGGCCTTAAATTTATTCCGAACTGGCTTCGGAAATCCATCTAAATTTTGGACTAAAATGTAATCCAGTGAATCAATGTTGCCCATGCTGAGCAAACTAAAGGAATGGATCATGAATTCACAATGTGATTGACCTTCACCTTGGCAGTTATAGAGAAAACACAGTTGTAGACAAGGGAAGGACCCGTGATGGATAGAGCCTTGGAGCCGGCCCAAGCAAAGATCGTCAATCAAAGGCTTAGGGAGTAGGCAAAAAAAGGCCAAAAGCAAACATGAAATAACAAATCGAGTGTTTCACTAACATTTCGAATAGCGATCCATCCTAAATTCGAGTTGAGTATATTTATCAAACATTCTGGTTGAGGTGCCTGTCTGCATGAGACAGCGATTGGGAGTTCAAATCTCAATTTGTCTGGATGAGAAGGTTTGAACAAGGGATAAAAAATCAGGAGCAAGATAAAACTTCTGAACGTCTTTGTATTCTTTTGAGTTGTTCTTGTTTAATAATATGAATGCCAAGGTCTATAGTTATAGTGGGTGGTTGGTGGGTGACAAGCAAGGATCAAAATATTGTTTTGGTGCATTGTTTTAATCACCTAAAAATTGAAAATGTTTTGATCTGATTCGTAATTGAATAAAAAATTTGAGAATTTATTTTTGAACATTGGTCGAAATATACCGAAATATATTGAAACATTTTGAAACAATGGTGGAAATATCTTGAATCATTTCGAAACAATGTTGAAAATATCTTGAAACATTTCGAAGCACCTCGAAGCATTTCAAAACACCTCGAAGTATTGTAATTTTGATTTAACCACTAATTTACTTCGCTCTCCTTGGAGACAAAAATGAATTTTGATTCAACCATTGATTTGCTTCGCTCTCCTGGGAGACAAAAATGAATTTCGATTCAATTATTGATTCATTTCGCTCTCCTTGGATATAAAACGAAATGAAGTTTTGATTGTTGGTGACTGGAAGGTTGAGTCTCATTTGACATAGAAGGTTCCTGAATAGGTCTCAGCTGGCTGGTCTGATATGACTTACACCTACCTAAGGTTATTGAGTGGAAAGCCAACCAGTTCCAATAGGGTGCCCTATCAGGACTGTGTGTATGTGTGTGCATGAGCCTCTATAGTATCAAAGCATGTGGTCTTATCTCTAGTTTTTCTAATAAAAATATTGAACGGAAATCCAATTGGTTCTAATGAGGTGCCCTATCAAGGCTGGCTGCTTTTGCTGTTTTTGTGTTTATGTGCCTTTATTGTATAAATGCATGTGCCCCCGTATCTCTACTATGTTTTAATGGGAAACAGGAAGTGTAGTCAAGCATGGAACAATAGGCAGAGTTACTACTAGTTTGCTCTTAATCATGTACATTGTGAACTTGTAACGTGTCACATGATGTTGCCCCTGCAGTAAATGGTTCTCATAACATTGTCTTGCTCTCTTTAGATAGTTTTGGTTTCAATTGAATTACCCTATGCTTATAATTAATGTCACTGCTACCATCTCTGACTTCATGTGAAGTTAACTGACCTTGCAATAAACAGGTTTATATTTTACTGAATCGATCGTGTGCAATGATTATGTGTTTTTTTTTCCATCAATCCCATCAAGACTTAAATTTTTGGTAGCTTATAGACATTCGTGTCTTTTGTCACGGCCCAAACACATAATTATTTGCTCTCTTGTCTTGGGTTTTCATTTTCTTTTCTATCCTTTATCTGTCAAAAATCATGATTGTAATGCTTGTATCTCTGTATTAACTTGAGAGAAATTTGAAGTAGTCACTGTTACAGAAAATGAGGTTTTAACAGTGTGATGCTTGAATTTTGTATAGGCCTGAATTTTCGTCACACTCTTTACCCGTCATACAAGAGCAATCGTCCACCTACACCTGATACCATAGTTCAGGGACTTCAGTACTTGAAAGCATCAATCAAGGCTATGTCTGTCAGAGTGATTGAGGTTAAAATTATATGGAACTGATATAAAGATCAATTGATTATAATTGTAAGTGACGATGATTCATCAGTTCAACTTAAAGCAGGTGCCGGGTGTTGAAGCTGATGATGTTATTGGGACCTTGGCTGCAAGAAGTGTTGATGCTGGGTTTAAGGTAGTTTCCTAATGTTGTCTTTATATAAGTCTAACCATTATCCTGAAAAATACATGATTTTTTGCACTAAGCCTTGTTACGAAGGAGAAGGACAGTTACTTCCTGGTGACATAACTTTTTTCTTTGTTTTTTCCCCAAGACCAGATATGTATAAATATGTCAAGACTCTGTCTACCTAATTGCAGACTTGCAGTATTCTTGCTCAGCATACCATGCATATACAGTGCTGTATGTGGGCATGGTGCTCTGCAGTATGCATCAGGGCAAAAAGCATTCCCCCCTTTTGCTGCACAGATAGAATAATGACCTAGTGATACACCCATGGGCAGATGCAGCATGGACCAGTGAAGGCAGCTGCCCCATTGCAATTTTCAAAAATTTTGGGTGTTATTTGAAATTTTGGAAGTTTTAAAGATTTTTTGGAATTTGCCCCACTAAAAGATCATAAAAAATAAAGTTTGGTAACGCTACTTGGATCTAATCATTGTTATCATAATATAAGTAGTGGCTCCCAACAATTAATGGGATCGAACGCTAATCCAATGACAACAATGGATTAGATTGCCAAATTAGGTTTCTATATTAAATACCCATAGTATTATTGGTTGTTTATATTTTAGAAAATAATTGGTATTCTTTCATAAAATAGAAAAATTAGACTTACGTGTTCTTTTTTGATAAACATTAGTAATTCTCTGATCCAGCATAATAATTAGCTATTACAACTTTTGAATAAGACATCAATAGTAAATGAGAAAGCACTCTATAAGAAATCAATTTTGACCTTTGGCAAGCGTTGACTCATCTTTTAGTTGACGGAATCGAGAGTGACCAACAAGACTACTCGTGGTTGGTTATTGTTGCAATGAATTTTAGTGATTATTAATCGGTCATTCTTCTTAACTTGGCTTTCTTAGTCAGTGCTCTACTTTCCTAGCTCCCTTTTGTCTCCTCCCCTCTATTTTTCTTGTTAATGTAGACTGATATTTGCTCTTGATATTTGAAATTGGTTTGAATTTTGAAATCCTAATGTTAAATTTATATTAGAATGTAAGCATTATAAATTAAGATTAAAATTATTTTAATAATACTATATATATGGAATCTATCTGTGATGAATTATATTTTCAATTAAATTATTTGGACCGATTGGATTATATTGGTAGTTTAAAGTATTCTTATATCTAAGTTCAGTATTAATAAACTTGTGATAAATAGATTTTTTTTTTCTCACGTTTGTTCTATCAAAAGAATACTTATGATCCTTATAAGTTGTTTGTTAAAAAACAATGATAAATTATTGAGTTTGAGGCAAACCAAACATATTAATTTTTGAAGTAATTATGGATTAATTTCCTATTAGAAAATTAATATTGAAAGAAATAATTTTAATATTATGATTTCAAGTTATCAATTAGTTCTAGATTGTCCCCACTACGAATAATTCCTAACTCTGCCCCTTGGATATACCCTCAATATTCAGTAGGGTTAAGGTGATAAAGAAAATAGTTTGCTTGTGGGAAAAAAAAGGAGCTTTTACCGGCGAATTATCAGTTAGCAAGTTAACCAGTTAAGTGTCCTCAAAACCAATTGGGAATACGTGGAGAAGTTCACTAGGCTCATATACTAGTTCAGGCATTATTTCGCCGATGGGGGAGAAGCTCTGACACTCCTCACACTAGCGATCAAAATAAATAATCATGTAGATAGGTGTACTTTTGGCCCAAACATAAAGGGTATCAACTAGAAATCAATGATATTGAAAAAGAGTGTTGCCCAAACCTCCCCAAACATAGCTCTGATATCATGTTAATCCGTGTAGCTTAGAACTAATTGACAACAAGTGGATGACTCACATTACTCATAGACTAGTTTGGAAGGCCTTATTATACCTATATGCGACAAGCTCCAATAAACCTACTTTAAAAAGAGTTTCTAGTTGCAAACTGAAAATAACAAAGACATTCATAAGAAAATGAGAGAGAATATTATTGCGGCTCCATAAGTCTCTTACATCGTAATAATGAAAGATGCAAATAGGAACTCTTTTATAGTAGGGCAAAATAATATTAGAAAAGGATTAGAGTACCCTTAATATTAAAATATACTAGAGTATTCCAACAGCCCCCTCAAACTCATGATGTGGTAGCTGAAAACATTAAGAGTTTGTCAACGAGAAAACAAAAATGCGCTATCATATGAGAATTCGTAAATAAATCTACTAACTGCATAGTATAAGGCAAAAATGGAAAGAAATTATGCCAAGCTGAAGATGATGGTACACAAAGTGTCAGTCAATCTCAATGTGCTTGGTGCCCGTGGAAGACTGAGTTGTGAACAATTTGAATAGCATTAGTGTTGTCATAGTACATAGGAGTAAGAGTAGATAATGAGTAACCATCGTAACCATACTATCTTAGCTGTGGTAGATGCTATAGCATCGTACTCAGCTTCAGTAGAAGAGCGAGCAACTACTGTTTGTTTCTTATTTTTTCAAGAGAGAAGATAATCACCAAGAAAGAGATGCTGAGAAGAAAATGAGAATGCTAAACATATTTTGGATCAAAAATAGGTTCTGATACCATGAAAATAATGAAGACATTCATAACAAAAGAGATTATGAGAAGAAAATGAGAGAAATATTATTGTGGCTTCATCAATATATTACATCATAATAATGAAAGATGCAAATAGAAACCCTTTTATAGTAAGGCAAAACAATGCTAGAAAAGGACTAGACTGTTCCTAATATTAAAATATAGTAGACTATTCTAACATCAATAATCATAGCTTCTAAAGCTAAATTATTGTATTTTAGTATACCAAATGGGTTAGATATGTATGTGGTTGAATTATAATGAACCTCACGCACCCTTACATTGTCGATCCTTGTTAAAATCATTTGTACGGGTAATCCATCTGGATCCATCATGTAGTAGATATATTGTACTCAATTGATATTCGGGATTCCGCATATCAGGTCTGATGCCAAATCTAATTGGTTGGATACGGGTTAAATATGCTCGTCGACAAGTGTAGATACGGGTTAGATATGAACGTTGACAAGTGTAGAATCCATGACTAACAATCGAGTTAGAACCTCGTTGAGTTATCAAAAAGAGTCTTAAGGATATAAAAGACCCATTTAGTTAGGCTAGTCCTCTAGTTAAAAGTTTTACTTACAAGAAAGGCATTGATTATCATTTGGAAGATTCAATAATTATAATGTTAGTCACTTAGTTTCCAAGCCAAGTGAATTGATGGATGGGTTATAACTGGTTTTTTATTAAAAAATTTTGCTATAGAAGAGAATCGAGGATGGAGCTACGATATTGAGGATAATGTTAGATACTTGGTTTCCAAGCCAAGTGAATTGATGGATGGATTATAATTGGTTTCTTTTTTTTTTTTTTTGTACAAATGAAAAATTTTGCTATGGGAGAGAATTGAGAATGGAGTTTTGATATTGAGGTCAATATATCTGAAAGAGATGCAAAAAACAAAATTTTAAAAAGATGAATCTTTCAAAAATAAAGGACAATTGCATTCCAATTATGTGGGAAATCAGACAAAGGCTGCCATCAGAAAGTTCCTGTGGCTTTGGTCCAAAAAAAAACCAGAAACAATTATTTTCTATACTAGTTCTCAAGTAAAGATAAGGATCGTTGAACGTTCTTGCATTTTGCTCTAGTATTGTAGTCAGCTCACAATTCCAAATGGTCTTAGTTTCTCTGTTCAGCCCAAAACCCAAAACTTGATCTGCAAGAACTTCTCCACCATAGGACAAACCTAAGCCTCACCAAACCACATTAAATAAGTTATTCCGTAAGCACCATGGAAAAGAACAATGAATGAATAGATTAACGTTCAACTGTCCACTTCTGACACAAGTAGAACAAATATCAGGGCTTAAAGCCTTATAAAGTCTCCTCATTTGCAAAACAATTATTAGTATCCACCCCGTTAAAGATAATATACCAAGCAAAGGCCTTGATTTTGTAGGGGATTTTGACTTTCCAAATGAATTGGTCTAAAGATAGAGGACTAAGCATATTGGGAGCTTAGGAGAGATGAATCTATCGATGGCTTTAAGTTTTATATTTTTTTTCGTTCAAAGCAAGGGCCTTTACTTTTGAGAGGATTTTGACTTTCCAAATGAATTGGTCTAAAGATAGAGGACTAAGCATATTGGGAGCTTAGGAGAGATGAATCTATCGATGGCTTTAAGTTTCATATTTTTTTTCCTTCATATGGTTTGACATAGATCATAATTAATCAATAACCATCCCTGAGGTAAGTAAGGAAGTATACAAAGGGCAATTTTCTCGAATGTTTGAAACAAAGGACATGTGTGCCTCTTTTGTCATGGGCAATAATAAGTCTTGCAAAGGCAGATTGCAAAGCACACTGAGACTCTTGTATATTCTAAATTGGTGGATGGCTTGTGTTTTTGCTGTAATATCCACTATGAAACGATACAAGTTCAGTCTAACTTATTGCACAATGCTTTGGAACAAGGGCACCCAATAAGCATCGATCCTATGTTATCTGCATTTGACACATTTGCAAGGCTGGTACCATTTGGCATGCATAATCTGCTTTTGTTTTTGTTCCTTAGAAACACTTCCTATGGATGATCCAAATTATTTATAAATAATTCAATCTAGCAATTTTGGTTCAGTTAGATTTCTTTGGTGGCCTAGAGTATCAAATATTCTCATTGTTTCTATTTTTTTCTATGACAGTCCTAGTGGATTATTTGATCAATGTCTGATGGCCTTTTGTCCTTTTTTTTTTTTTAGTAAATTCGTAGAAGTTTATTCTCAACTTTCTACCAGGTGATCAAAGCATCTGGGGAAAAAAAATACACTTTCCCAAAAGATTAACAAAGACTAAAATTGAAAAAATTGATAGGGTGAGCTATGAATGGATAAAACTAGGGATGTTAATGGACTGAAGCGGGGGCGGAGGGTATAGTCTTCATCCCCGTACCCGCTTAAAAAATATTCGTCCATCTCCGGTCCACTCCCGTTAACGGGTATAATTTTCATTCCCGTCCCCGTCTGCGGGTAAATTTTTAATCCCCGTCCTCGTCCCTGTTTCCCCCATACCCGTCCAAACCCAAGCCCAAGTTCAAGTGAACATAATCCAAAATTCTAAATAAATTCAACATTTTAAATAATCCAACAACATTCTAAATAATCTAACACAACATAATTTAGCATATTGACATTATTGACAGCACTAACTTAATTAAACTGCCTATGAAAACAATAAAATCAGAGAGAATGTTCCTCATATTA